TGAAGCTTAGTCAATAAGTAGGGAACGGCAGACAGCTGTTTGTTGACTTTTCATGATGTCGTCGCTGGTAAGCTGAGGTCGGTGTGGAAGAGAGGGCCAAGGGTCGGAGGTGTTTGGTAGGTTAAATAAGTGGTTTCGAAAAGGTTGAAATCAATTCAATCTGGTAAAGAATGTAATGAGAGATGATAGGCGATGAAACGAGCACAGGGAGGATCCTATCGAAGGACAGATGTATCTGTGAAAGAAGGAGAGAGCTGTGAACTTGGGTCAGAGACAGGAAGTTATCGCACTGCGAATGGGATTCTGAACAAAAATGCAGATTAGAGTTGCAATTACTCCCCTCCGATCTGATCAGAGGTCTTGCTGGTCTTGTTGCCCGTATTCGTACTTTTTGGTGGACCCTTACCGATTCATGATTTCAAGTAGGTACTTTAAGGTTACGATATGGATACTCTGCCTGACGTCCTTTTTGCCATATTTCTAGTTGTCGATGCGCCGGAGCTGCGGGTATCTTGCATGTATCTCATTAGCTACCGCCCTATCAAAAAATAAAATATTGCCTGCCTCGGTCGCCAGGCAGATGTATAAATTGCGATTGGCATGCTTCCCTTTGGACCCCAAAATAGATTCCCATGCCCTCTGCTGTAGGTACCGTTTAGAGATTCAGATTCAACAGTAATAAAACTATCATTAATTACTTTGCCTTTTCGGAATAAACGCAATCGAACCTTTTCAACACGAACAACCGGTTTTCAATTATGCCTTCCATTTTCTATAGCCATTCGCAGCACGCATGATACCGCCTTTCACCTAGCTGGGAAATGTCGGTGTACATAGTACTTAGCAAAATCGGAGTCTAGAACACGTGGAACAATCTATTGAGTATATCCATGTATACATGTACCTATCACCCGATAAGATTTAGATGTGTAAAATTTGCGCGTTAGACCTCTCCGCCACTCTGCCGTGGTAGGAGCGCTGATATTTGCGCAAGTGTAACGGAGCAAAAGGACCATCCCTATACCAGCCCTACATACCTAACCTCTACTGTTATCTTCCAGGCGAGGCACGGGATCTGCCGGCAACTTTCAAGATGTGCAGCTTTGGTTTCTTTTACTGGTTTGTACACACGACAAAACAGCCCCAAACCCACCATTCCGGGAGCACGTATGATCACACGTGCCAACCCCAAGAATGCGCCAATCGCGTCGCCATCTCATCTAGCAGTTGACCTCGGAGGGCAGCGGGAACAAACATTCCTTGCTTGATGAAGTGCAATACTACATACATCTACCCATGGCAGGGATATAGTCCTTCGCAACTGCTGATATCGAACGGTCGGGTGCTTTTTAGAGATGTCATGATGTCGTCAGTTGAACTTTGATATGTCCTCATGTCGACGGAAATTGTTTATATTCGCCTTGGAATTTAGAATGTACGACGCATTCTTAAACACAAACCTGTTTGGCAACAAGCATGCTCACGCAGCAAGGCATGTCCAAGGGTGACACCAGGTAATAAGAATGTCATACCACAGGTACGAGGCATCTCAGATTCATTTCTCTTGCGTCACCCCAAACCTTGTTGTGGTGGTGGTATAAGGTTACGTTGAGCAAAATGATTATGCCAACAGCGCTGGGGCAACGTGTGTACCCCGGCGCTCGGAATTTAGCGGGCGAAAATAAGGTGAGCTGCTTACCTGTAGGAGCTGGTATCATTTGGAACATGAGGCTAAAAAATTACTGATGATCCGTTATCTCGAAGCTTGAAACTTCAACGCCTCCATGCTCAAAAGACTCTCTGCTGCACATACGCAATCCGTGTAGTACGGCGATCACTATACCCTGTTGCTTCCTTGCTTGCAGGTAAAGAATGAGTCTCGACTACAAATCATCCCTTAACTACTTCATGATGATGCAATATCTGCCTTTCACGATCTACCTTGCCAGCGCCAATAGTTGAGAAGAACACATTCAAAATCACCATCCCGTGACTTGGTGCGTGAGCAGATTGGACACAAAGACATCATCCTCGGTGGCTCATCTTACACAACTGATATGAGAAAAAGACTGTTGCAATCACGTCCGAATGAGAGGTTGATTGTCGTTGGGATGATCATTGAAGTCATCCATTGGTAGGAAAACGGCATCCCACTCTTCCCGTCTTCTGGCTAAGTTCCTAGGTGGAGCCTATTTCCGGCCGGAATGCCCATGAGTTCCTCCGATTCTCCCCACAAGCAACCTCTTTTTTCACGAACTATCAGAATTCATTCAGCAGCGTAGATACCATGAAGGGGACACGGATGATGTATTCAACTTTCAGAGAAACCCAAGTAGATTTATCTCTAAGCTGAAACACCAGGAAGGAAAAAGTTTGCGTAAACAGCGGGAGCATGGACACAGACTGACTGCTAATACACCCCATCCCGCGCCGGCCATGGCTTCACCAAAAGAGTGTCTGTGCTTCATGCCTCTGGTAATATAACAGAATTTTAAGTATTTGAACTCATAGCGATGGTAATAATACAACAATACCATCGTTTTGGATCATGAAACTCATCATCGCTGGTGCTACCGGCCTCGGCGGCACGGAACTGATCAAACAGGCTCTCCAAATTTCCGAGATAACCTCGGTCATCGCGCTGGCACGACGGCCAGTGGGTCTTGACGATAGTGCGAATCCAAACGTATCGAAGCTGAAAAATGTCATTGTCAAAGACTACGGCACTATCCAGACGATGTAAAAGAAGATCTCACTGGCGCGAATGTATGCATCTGGTAATAACTGGGAATCTCCCCCTCAAGAAGGCCCGAGAAGAATTTCTCAAAGAACTGCATACACTAACAAATATATTCTAGGACTGTAGCCGTAACTCCATTCAAGACAAGTGGTCTGAACTTCGCCGAGATCAAGCGGGTGTGCCAAACATGCCCCGTCACGGGATTCCAGACGATGTATGCCATCAAGCCGGCGCAGCCATTTCGGTTCATCTACTTTAGTGCCGAGGGCACACCTCAGGATCTCTCTAAGAAGCCAATGATGATGGGCAATTACCAGATCATACGGGTATGTCATAGTTGCTGTCAACTCTTTCCATCTCTATCTGCATCTATTTCTTCATCGGCTACTCAGGCTAACACTACAATCCCTTGGTTCTCCGTGCACAGGGCGAGTCTGAAAAGATGGTTTGTAAGCTATCGGAAACTCACGAGGGAGCCGAGGTGTGCATCTTGCATCTAGGCGTCGCGACGACATACTCGGCGGCGATGTCGCGGGCTCTAGTTTCGGGGATATTCCAAGCTGCCAATGTCTTCACGCGTGCTTTGGCGAATATCAGCATGGAACAACTTGCGGCGGCGGCCCTAGATCAGTCGATTCACGGGTTCGAAAACCCTTTGATATCGAATAACGAGATGGTTAGAATAGGAAATGATGCTCTCAAGTCCAGGAAAGTAGGCAAATCCTAGGCATAGGGTCAGAGACATCTTACCGGGAATCATGGCAAAGCATTTACGCTTCGCTTGGGCTAGCGAAACAAATAGATGTGCTCCTCCGGAACAGCCCAATGGCAGTAACAATGTCGTAGACAATGCTCCGGCTATGGCTTCACAGCTATTGCAAATGGATTACTGATCTATCTTGTACGAAGCGACCGCGTTCTGGGACAGCTGCTATCATATTCGTATGCAGAAACTGGAATACTCAGATATTGGCAATGACGACGAAAAACTCTATTGTTCTCTATGTAGGGGACTAATAGCCTGAGGTCGGCCGCCCTGGGCAGACAGCCATTCACTTCCAGCAAAGCACATCGATTTGAAAGGTTCCATACCAACCATCCACATCTTCTATCCACCTGTGAAAGTCCGCAATTATAGCGTCAGCCCGTTCATCACCCAACGGCTCCTTACTGCCATCAAGGCCTGTCACCACCGTCTTCCTCAATTTATCCCCGCTCTCCGTCCCTTTCTCCAGTCTTCCAATATGCCCTTCACCCCACCACTTCCTCTCCTCGGGGCTCGCGTAGACTTGTAAATCACCACCGCGCTGCATGCGATCAATACTGAATCCGGCCTGCCGAGCCCACGCATGCGCAGCGCGACTGCTATGGAATCCTTGACCGCCTGCTCCCTTCACCAGGGCATCAAGGAGATTGCTGTAGAGTTCAAGATTCGGGTGCCGGGGATACCACTCAGCAGAGTCTGCCTCTCGCATGGCCAAGATGCCGTCGGGCTTCAAAACACGGTGCGCCTCCTTGAGCGCCTTAACAGGGTCGGGAAGATGGACAAGCGTCTGCGAGGTGAAAACCACATCAAAGCTCTGGTCAGGAAACGGTAGTCCTTCATCCGACAAAATATCGGCGGCCTGGAACGTGAGATTGGGATTTGCGGACGGCGGGTTCAGCGCCGTCGCGTGCTCGATTACTTTTGCCGACTGATCGATGCCTACGGCACGACCGGAGGGACACAGCTTGGCGAAACCGGTGGTAATCGTGCCTGGCCCGCATCCCATGTCAAGAACATGGCTGTCGGGTCGCAAGTGGGGGAGTAGGAATGCAGCCGCGTTCTCCGCGGTGCGGGATGTGTGGCTTGAGAGAACAGCAGCCTGGTGCGATAGTGCATAAGCCATATTTTTCTGGGTCCTGATATTATTCTATGAAGTCGTCACTTTCAATGAATAGGTCATAAAGGTAGATATATCTATATTCTACGATATGAGAAGGTCTAAGTAAATCCAGAGCACTATGCTTGAGAGGGGTTGTTAGTGTTGTTTTGGCACCTGCGCAAGCGGCCGCGTAGTTACTACTAGATATGACGTCGCAGGAATATCCCCCAGGCACTTAGAAAGACTGAGCAACTCATTTCACAGCTTCGGTCGGTTAATCAACCAAGACACGTTATTATTACACTGGAAAAGAAAAGAAAAAGAAAAATCTATCACTTCAACCATTGTCAAGCTAGAAAATATTAGGATAGAACAAAAAAGAAAAACAAAAAACTTGGACTCACGGGGATTTGAACCCCGGACCTTTCCCAAGTTGCATAAGATGATTCATGCAAAGGGAAAATCATACCCCTAGACCATAAGCCCTGATTATTGATAACGTGCTGCTTATTGTTGTATAGAATCTTTCACCGTGTGTTAGCGGCTGCACGGGCCTTGTTCTAGCTCAACATTGAATATGATTGGAGAATTGTCGCTTATTAGTGGATCACAACAGAAGAGCCCGAAATTCACCTTTCAGCTGCCGCAAAATCTGGGAGTTGGTGAGTAGGGTCACCGGCGATCCCGGGACTTAACGGTAATTTTGCAACAATGAACACTCGGTACACAATAGTCTGCTAAATTCCAGTAGTGCTGCTGCCGCTCGAAGGTTCGTATACTGATCAATGAGCATCTGAGATGTTGAATGCCTTGTCGTGCGATCCTTCAAAGCTATGGCCCCATGGGCGGGGACATCGATGCAAAAGTACATGCTAGCGGGAGGATGATGAGAACTCTTCTCTCTGAAGTGCTCTGTTCTGGAGGAAATCCGGGCGATCCGTACCGAAACCAACTCTAAAATCCAAAGATAGACTCACAATCCGTGCGTTCGTGCCATAGCTTGTGATTTTACAAGATGAATATCCCTGATGAACTCCTCACGTAAATGAAACTGGATCGCTTCTAATGATTCTGAACAGCGACGCCCAAGATTTCCTACTACCATTCCCTCCGAGCAAGTTTTTGAAATTCACGACGGTGGGTAAACACCAATCGGTGGTTAGTTATCATACCACGGAGTACAGTAGTTATGGACGATTACACCCAACTAGAATGTCATCTCTCTATCCCATTATCAGGCACTGATCGCGAAACGAGGAAGATGCACTCGAGGAGAAATAGCACAAGACGACGGGCAGAATGAAGCATTGAGCCACTACTGCATCCCGTCAACCGGAGTTTCTCGATCGCGAGGGTCACTTCCCACGTTCCACGAATTTTTGGGGTGAGATTGCTATTGTTCACAACTTATCAAAACCTCACCGCCATGGGCATCTTCATAATGTGGACTCGTGGTCATCCTCGGCCATGCCAACCTCAGTGGGCCCTTTATCACACCCAGTCCCTGTTATATCGTAATGCAAACAAGGGAATGGAAGAAGAATTGGCTAAGGAGATTGGATATATAAATGCCTGCTCGCAATTGACCGACGTACAACAACGTCAGAGGTACTAGTGCAGTCTCCGTCCAAAACGTCACAGCCGTGTGTATGGTGACAGAGGGCCAAGGTGAGGCTTGGGTTACTCTTCTCGCATCAGGTCCTTCATTGGTGGTGGCGATACCGGGCGCCAGCGTGAACCCAAGCTTCCTAGCGAACGAAACAAACACTTTGACACCAGGTCTATCAAGCAAGACCACGACATGGGGTCCGTCTTCGAACTTGATCCCATTACAGATGTCATGACTCCTGGCGCTTTCATCCTTGGTCTATATCCTATAAATCTCGGTAACTATACCGTTGAAAGCGGAATATCTTTCTCGACCCCGTTTCTCGCCTACGTCTACACTATCGTCATGGAGGCTACAGGCATCAAAGATACCGCATCAATTCTCAACATGCTCTCAAAAACATCAATTGCAAATCTCTGGAACGATGGCAATATCCACATACAATTACTTAGCACCTGTACCTCAGCAAGGCGCCGGTCTTCTCCAAGCGTACGATGCCATAAACACAACCTCTGTTCTTGACCGGCATAGTATCAGCTTCAATGACACTGAATTCTTCAACGCTACCCAGATTCACATTGACTAACAACGGTTCCAAGTCTGTGACACATGAGATCGCCAACGTTGGGGCACCGGCTGTCTACACTTTTCCCAACGACACTGCCATAACGCCCATGAATTTCCCGAATGACTTCGACATGACCTCGGCCTCACTTTCTTTCTCCCCACCCAGAGTCAACCTTTCCAGCCGGAGATCAGCTACAATTACCGTCACAGCCACGCAACCAAGTGTTGACTCACATCGTCTTTCAATCTGGTCAGGATAGATCACCATTAACGGCACCGACGGTTCAAACCTGGGACTTCCATACATGGGAGCCGCAGCCAAGATGCGAGATATGACTGTTTTGGACGTCAGGAACACGACTGTAGTGAGCTCTCTCGATCCCACATACAAGCCATTGCAGGCCAATTACATGTTCACGTTGCCGCCGATGAGCCGCGTGAACAACACGACCTACAACCCAACAGAGATACCGAGGCTCTACATCCAGATGGCGTTCGCTAGCCGACTGATCGATGCGTACGTCGTGTCATCGACAGACAATTCCGCCATTGGCTAACTTCCCGCTATTCCCCCAGACATACCAGTCGCGCATCTCGCTCTCGGATGCTGAGGGTGTTGCGTGGTTTCCGACATGGGATGGAAGCTTGGCGGACGGGACATACGTACCGGCCGGCAGCTACAAGTTTCGCGTCAATACTCTGCATATCTTTGGTGACGAGAGCGTGGAGAGCGATTGGGACGTGGCTGAGACTGTCCCCTTCGCAACTGCCTATAATTTGTCATGATGCGCGTGCGCTTTCGCCCAGTGATCCGGACCTTCTCTTGCAGCGCAACACGCCAACTGATTTGTCCATCACTTCATGATGACTGATATCCTGTTCAGTTGGGGTGCGACGCACACCACCAAAGGTCTCACTTTGAGCACAAGTCCTTGGCAGATCTGCCGTAGAGTATTGATTCTTCGTGACAGTGATCAAGAGCTTTTATTAAGAATCTTACTGTATAGTCTCTCCGTGGAGGCAGCGAAGGTAGATCATTGTAGCTGAATAGCGCCCAGTGAGATGGATGTGGTGGTATCACCCTCGCGTCTCGTTGTAACGTTGTAGCAGATAGTTTGGATTCTTTGCCTTTGCAAGTGTAGGGGAGTGACGGCATCGCCTCAATGTTCAATATTGACCTCTAGCATGTGATCGCGACATGAGATCATGTATTGACAAGAACGCTCTTGAGGGTTTGGCCGGGCTCATTTTCAGAAAATAGTAAATGAAACTTTCAATAGACTAGAATAGGGTATCATATTATTTCTCCTCGTCAAATCACGTTCGCACCGGCTCAAGGACGAACTCGTACTCTATAGAAACCTTTCCCTCGCCATCGCGCATGTAAAAGCCAATCAGTCTTCCTGATTTCTTTTGGCCGTCAATGACCTGCATGTGTGTGTCCGGGTCCGAACTAGATTCAAGCATGCGTTTCTCAACCGGTGGGAGTCCAGGATACAATGGAGGATCACCGACCAGCATAGCACTCCCATCAGCCGCGAGGGTGCAGCCATGCTCAAGCTCAATGATACGCCTCGCCATGAGCGTCATGGTAACACGATCCCAGAAATTTTCTCGCGGAGCGCATAGCTTGGGCATCAGTACAAGGGCGCGCAGGCGTGTCTCGAGGCATCGGCATTTCATGATCAACCAGTATAGCAACGGGCAGAAGGCCGCCTCAAAAATGAAGTTAGAGCTCTGAGGTGCCAATGAACCCTCAGGAATCGACTCAGCGAGGTCGATGAGTGATCGGAATGTATCAATGTGTGTGTCGTAGACCATTTCGTCGGCGCTAAATACAGCCTCTATCCATATTCGCGACACATTATAGCGTAGAAGTGTGTAGCATATTTGAACAGCAGGCACCTCCACATTCTTCGGACCGGCAAGGAAGGCAGAGAACTTGGCATACCACTCCTCGAGATGGGCACGGGTTTCGTCTTGTTCAGTCTGGAGATCGGGATTGATCGTCTCGGGGATTTTATCGGTGTCCGCATAGCGGTACATATCGGAGTGCCTGACGAGACGCATTGTACGCCCTACGACGGGATCGAGATGAGACATCGCCTGATATATACCGTCAAAGGAGTGCGGAATTCTCTCGTCCAGTCCCGCTATTTGTAGCGTGTCGCGCTCCTCCGCCATGAAGAAGAAAGGAAATATACTTAACCGGTGGAATAGAGGCGAAAGGTATTCCTTCGTCCATGGGAATGACCGTTCCACCCTTTTCAGTATGGTGATGCCGTGCTGACAGTGTCTTACGGCGGCGTCGCGGTTGCCGCGGAGGAATTCGATGCAGATGAACAGGATGCACACGAGCAACACAAGAGCTTCGTTCTCCATTGAGCTGAGATGTCGGATCGCGGCATTGTAGTGATTCAAGACGAGCTTGTCGTCTGGCATCAAGGCAGCAACGCTAGGGTTGAAGTAAACTTGTTCGACGAGCGCACCGACCGCAACGAGAGAGTGCCGGACTGCTGGCTCGAATGTACTGAACTGCATCACGAGGTGTGTCCAGAAGTAGGGGTCCATCGGCCCCGACAGCCCGGGCGCAGCAATGTCGCAGAAGAACCGCAGACTCCGCTTCTCTGAGGGATCATTGACATTTGGGAACATGTAGCGGGGGCGGTGCCAGATCAAGGCGGATTCCTCAGCCGTAGATACCGTGACATAACCGTCACATTGGCGCCCAGTACTGGTACACTAGATACAACACCCATCATTAGGAGACGGTCATTCATGGTTATGTCTAGGATGATTCTACTTACTCGTTTACAATGCGGCTTGCCCTCGTCGCATTTGACCTTCCGGACTCTTAGATATCCGATGTCAGTTGCTGGTTATAACAAGAGTACCAACACTCAGTGCTTACTTGCAAGTCTTGCAGCCGGTCCTGACCTTCGGACTACCTTTCCGAGCCATGTCATTCAAAGTCCTTGCATGAAAAGTCCGAGCGGACCAGTTAGAAGAGAGATTGCTGCAGGTTATCGCGTTGGACAACGATGCAACCCTATCAGCTGGCATCCAAATCTGCGATAAAGCGGGTGGATGCAGATCTTTTCGTGAACCAAATCGAATTTTGAAAACGTTCTCTAGAGATATCCTCCAATTCGTAAGCTCTTGACTTGCGGGAGAAGGTAAAGTTCGTCTGTCTAGTTAGCCTATCATCTGCACAAGTGTTTTTTATAAACCTGGAACAAAGTTATCAAGAATCTCCTCGACTAGTTGCCTGTTTCTTGCAGTGGGACAAAGTCCGAGGTGACCAATGAGA